CATTGCTGAAGAAGGGTCTAGGCCCGAAACGTCAGCCTTCCTGCTCCTCTGATGCTGCTTGGCCTGTTGTGTTTATCCAGTTCTACACCTTGTTATCTCAGATTCTCCAGCATCTGCAATTCCTACTATCCATGTGTGGGGGCTTGTTTTAGCTCGGCTTGATCAGTTTTTTTCAGTCACAGCAGTAAGGACATAAAACATAAACCACGTCTTCAAACAACCTGAAATCAAACTCCAGGCTAACAGTGGAACTGTCTCTCTCTCTCTCTCTCTCTCTCTGTGCTCTGTGCCATTGATATAAATACAGAACAGTACAATACAGACAATACTGTGCACTGAAATATTTACCTTTTCTGAGACCTAGTTTCAAGCTACAACATGCATTATTCATGTCGTTGTTTGATCAAAATCCAGGCTAAATTGCTAGGTATTGTTACTCCTGGCCATTCTGAATTCACAACACAGGCGTGTAAAGTGTAAAACTGGTAACATATTTACACCAATAACAATGAATTGTACTCAATGTCACTGCAGCAGCTGTTAAAAAGGAATTGCTCTCCTCCCTGGTGAAAAAAAGTCCAAAGGTTTCAACAGGCTGGGCTTTGAAACATTCCTAGGATTGTGGGAACAGGCCATTCAGCCCCTTCAACTACTTCTGCTGTTAGAACATAGAACATAGAGCATAGAACATAGAACATAGAACAGTACAGCACAGTACAGGCCCTTCGGCCCACGATGTTATGCCGACCTATTATCCTACTAAGATCAATCTACTCTGCATACCCTACATTTTACTATCCTCCATGTGCCTATCCAAGAGTCATTTAAAAGTCTCTAAAGAATCTGACTCCACTACCCCTGCCGGCAGCGCATTCCACACGCCCACAACTCTCTGTGTAAAGAACCTACCTCTGACATCTCCCCTATACCTTCCTCCAATCACCTTAAAATATGCCCCCTCGTAATAGCCATTTCTGCCCTGGGGAAAAGTCTCTGACTATCCACTCTATCTATGCCTTTCATCATCTTGTACACCTCTATCAATGTTCAATAAGATCATGGCTGATCTGCATCTCAACAGCACCCAAGCAAGCCTGGCTCCCTGTGGAACTGTAAAACTAAACAGCACTGAAAGGGCACATCAGCCCTTAGCCCTCACGCCAGACTGCTTTCAGAGCCCCCAAAATCCTTGGCAAGCAAATCTCTGTCAACCTCATTTGTAAATGCTCCAGTTTCCTCCCACAGTCCGAAAGAAGTGTGGGTTAGGGTGGATTGGCCGTTCTAAATTGCCGATAGCATTCGGGGATGTGCAGGCTGGGTGGGTTAGCCACGGGAAACGCAGGGTTACCGGGACAGGATAGGTGGGTGGGATTTGGTGGGATGTTCTTCAGCGGGTTGGTGCGGACTCGATGGGCCAAATGGCCTGTTCCGCGCTGTAGGGATTCTATGATTCTATGAAAGTTGAGCTCCAGTCCCTGCCGTCTTATGACAAGAGAGTTCCACACTTCCCAACTTCTCCTCCAAATGACCAAGCTCAAACTTTAACTGTAAGTCCCCATGTCCTAACAGTGGTGGAAAGATTCTGATGGCCTGTTCATTCCTTTCAAACCCTCCCCCGCCAATAATTGAAAATATTTTCAATTGAGAATCGCTTGTTACAACCAGCTGTGATACTCCAGATTATTAACACTTCACGGCAGATCCCCCGTAGCTCATCATTCGATTCTGATCTCTGGTTGCTAGTGCAAGCCTGTGCCTTTAAGGCCAGTATTTTAAATAGGCAAAAAAAAAATCCACATCAGTTCAGCCACACACAGGCTGCTTAAATCTTACCAGTTGTAACTAGAGTCCAATTTCCTCGACTTTCGACTGTGTTTAAGTTTGATTTGTAACAAAAACAAAGTGTCACCTGGAGTGCAAAGTCAGGATTGTGACTGAATGCTATAAGCAGGAACCGTGTTGTGTATTTCTGAGCAGAAACATAACACTGTGTCTGGGAGCCAGTCTCAAATGTTTGGGCTGTATTTGTTGCCGATTGTTGAGTTACCATTTGTTTGCTGTTATCGTCGATGTAGGATCCTGGTCAAGGATGCAGGAGTCAACATCGCAAAGCACTGTCCCTCCCAGCAAGGTGACAACAGCCCTCTCCCTCTCACTCTATTCCCGATGGCTCATCAGGGAAATTCTGACCTGAATGGAACCCAGTGGTAATGATACTGGACTAGTAAGTAATCTAGTTACAAGGGCACCCTAGAGATAGAAAATTAAGAACATAGGAACAAGAGTAGGCCATTCAGCCCCTCAAGTCTGTTCCATCAGTCAATGAGACCATGACTAATCTGTAGTCCAACCTCATATCCCTGCCTTAGGCCCATATCCCTTTATACCTTTTGTTTAACAAAAATGTATCTCACTCAGATTTAAAATTAACAACTGATCCAGCATCCACTGATGTTTGTGGAAGAGAGTTTCAAACCTCTCCCACCCTTTGTGTATAGAAGTGCCTCCTAACATCTCTCCTGAGCGGCCTGACCCTAATTCTCAGACTGCGCCCTTGTTCTAGAATCACCAAGTTCTAGTTCAAATCCTACCACATTCAACACGGACCATTCAGTTAATTTATAAACTTGAAACAAAATACTTGTGTCAGCAATAATGATCACTAAATGCTGCTTTCCACATCCCACGAATAATTTTTTTTATAAAGTTAGAATAAAAACCCAGCTGGTTTACAAACACCTTTATATTTACAAATACGCTACACTTATTAAAATTCGTTAATGGCACGTATGTTATTCATTGCCAGGGGACAGTCAGGAAACAACCACATTGTTGTGGGTCCAAAGTTACATATAGACTAGACAAGGACAGATTATTTCCTTCCCCAAAAGGCATTAGTGAACCAAATGGGTTTTTAAAACAATTGACAATGTTATGTGGTCACAATTAGGCTAGCTTTCTAATTCCAGTGTATATATTGAATTCAAATTTCACTACCTGCCATGATGGGATTTGAAGCCATGTCCCCAGAATATTACCTTAGCTACTACTTGTTCTGTCGAAAGGTCAATTTCTTCAAAACATCAACTCGTTTCTCTCTCCACAGATGCTGCCAGACCTGCTGAGTTTCTCCAGCAATTTCAGTTCCCAGAGCATTAGTCTGGAGTTCTGTGATACTAGTCCAGAGACTTTACCAGTGCACTACTGCCTCCACGGAAGTACAGCCACATGAGGTTGTAGATATGCTCACCGAGCCGGTCCCATCCACAACCCGAGCTACAAATCTTCTCGAAAACTTTGTGCAGCCACCTGGTTTATTCTAACCTGCCCTTTGAAATGGGGCAGGGAGCAACTCAAATGTATCAAACTGCAATAGGAAAATTATTGCTGTGGGAGCACCGATGGTCTGCAGTTGCTCAAGAAGGCAGTTCATCATCACCTTCCCCGGGCGAATTAGGAAAGAGTAACAAATGCTGACCACAGCCTGTGAATTAATAAAGTAAACATACACACAGGGTCTCTCCAGCATTGGGTGGCTCAGCTGTCTACCTAAGACACATGAATTCTACATCAATCTTCCCTGTCTCTGACATAGCTAGAATTTACACATTAGGGTCAACAATGCAGCATTTTCCTTTGTGTTTCAGCTTGGATTTTGTACCAAAGTGTCCGTAATGGGACTCAAATCCACACCCTCGTGACTGAGATGTGAGAGCGGTATCAGTTGTGTATTTATTAATTTGTTGAATACTTCATATCCCAGAGCCATGCATCGATGATATTGAGCAGGAGGTTTTATTTACACTGCTTAAAAATGTCTGCTCCTTGTTTATCCCAGTTCAATGTCTAAGTCTTTGTGTGATGTCTGTTGATTTTTTTTTGTATATGTTGCGTCCAGTTTTGTATGGCATCTGTTTTCTTTGCTTTGAGCCACAGCTAGATTTAATCTGTTAGTGTGGATCAGGTACCAGAGCACTGTCAGTGTGGATCGGGTACCAGAGCACTGTCAGTGTGGATCGGGTACCAGATACAAATGATCAAGTACGGATAAATGAAACCATCGGACACTGCACTATTGGCTGGCACTCACAATGACCTCTTTTAGCGCAATGAATTTCTATAGCTGCCTGGTTCTGTCATCTCTTAGAGCGTAACGCATTGGCTGCACAGTGATTTGGAATGCACTGAGCATGGATAAGGTGTTACACAAAAGCAAACCCTGAGTGCTTTATTGCGTTTTTCAGTAGCTCAGAACAAACATCAAACAAGTCAATATCTGCCGCTGTTAAGTATACTCTAGTAGTGACATTTACCCTGGGTGCAGCCCACCACCTCCTGACATGGACAGATAGAAATTCCAAGTAGGTTCTTCAGACTTACCACTGTGACGAATTCGATCTTCCAGCAACTTACTCTGCTGGGAAGGGATCTTCCTGCTGAACATCTGAGCCGACCGAAGGAACATGGCCTCAACGGCAGAACCTTTCAGCAGGGCAATCTGATCTTCATGGTCCAACGTCTGGAACCCTACAGAGTAATGGAGAGGCAGTATTATCCACCACAGCTCTAGCCAATGCTCCTCATTTCACTGGGAGTGCTCAGTCACCATAGACCCAGATGACCAAAGGGTTGCTCTCTTACTAGAGAGACAGAGAGAGAGAGAAAGAGAGAGAGACAGAGAGACAGAGAGAGAGAGAGAGAAAGAGAGAGCGACAGAGAGACAGAGAGAAAGAGAGAGAGAGAGTGGTGGTCTAACCCATGGGGGTCACCATACCTCAAGGTTGAGAACGTGGGTTCTTCAGGGTCGCCTCAGCCCAGTGGAGGAATTAGACACACCCTGGTTGGTGCCACTCTGCATTGCAAACCAGCTGTCCAGCAACTGAGCTAACTGTTATTCTATGGAAAAGGTCATTTTCCAGAGCGAAAGGCTGGAATCTGTGAGTATAGGCTCCGTCCTATTGCGAGTAAGATCAATTCCTTCCAGAAAACCATATTTTCAGACACAGCATTCAATTAAAAACTACGGTGAGTGGAGTCTTTTCAAGAAGAAATAACTTTGGACTGACAATTTCCAAAGCCCTCCATCTAAAGCTCCAATTATTTCTCTAATCGATCGAGACTGATCACTATAATTGATAAATAAATTCAATATAATTATAGAAAATGGCTGCCGTGATTGTACAAAGCAGAGGAGATTAACCCTGACTTTTTACAGAATCCCTACAGTGTGAAAGCAGGCCATTTGGCCCATCAAGGCCACAGCAACCCTCTGACGAGTATCCCCACCCTATCTCCATAACCCCACATTAACCATGGCTAACCCCGCTTAGCCTATATATCCCTGGATACTATGGGGCAATTTAGCATGGCCAATCCACCTACCCTGCACATCTTTGGGCTATGGGAGGAAACCCACACTGACAAGAGGAGAATGTGAAAACTCCACACAGACAGTCGCCCGAGGGTGGGATTGAACCCAGGCCCCTGATGCTGTGAGGCAGCAGCGCTAACCACTGGGATGGGACCTTCCTTTGGACCGTCTTTCTTAGCATTAAATTTGGAGGATCATCTCAAGTCCTCTGGTGTTACTTCTCCACTGCTTTGAAGTGCCTGCAATAGATTGTCCAAATATACCAGAGTCTTTAGGAACTCAGGAATCACTGCAGCCTGGAAAACCCTGGCCTTAGTCTGAGGTTTGAAATCCGCATCTTTAATTCCTCTTTTCCTCAATTGTCCAGAAGCTGGCTGGTACATTGGAAGTGATGCTCAATTTTATCATCTATGTCTGCCTTCATGGACAGAAGACCCTGAAGATCTGGGGAATGAGGTGTCGTGGTTTAGCGGTGATGTCACTGGAGCAGAAAGACCCATTTCTCCAAGACTCTTACCACAGCCACTCCATTGTGAGCCCAATCCCTGTCTTACGGAATTTCCAAAACTAGGGCCCATAATTATAAGAAAGTCACTAATAAATCCAAATGGGACTTGAAGCAAAATGGCTTTACACAGAGAGCAGTGTGAGGATATGACGCTCACTAGCAGAGGGAATGGGTTGAGATGAATACAATTGTACAAATACATTGAAGATAATAGCTGAGAATTTCACCTTCCAACTATAATTTGTTCAATAAATGCTCCCTCTAATGTGTCAATTTCCTATGGGGGAAGGATTCAAATCATTATGGGATGGTACTATGGTCTCCAGTACTTCCTCTACTCAAATTATTTGATTCTACATCTACTCCTAAACTACATAAGCTTTCATTGTTAAAATCCCCATTAGTTCACTAAAGTCCCTTTAGCGAAGAAACCCTCTGCCCTTACCCTGTCTGGGTCTATTTGTGGTCCCACAAGGCTACCTCTTAACCAGCTCCCCAAGGCAAGTCCTTCAGTTGCAACAAAGTCTTCACAAAGTGAAAAGCAGCCCCCTACCACCTTCTCAAGGGGCACTGAGGGACTGGCAATAAATGTCAAACTTATGAGTAAACCTCAGGCCCCTAAGAATGGAATGAAAGAAATGACGAATCATGTCACTTACCAGGCAATTTCTTTGTGAATTCAACAAGCACCTGTACATGGCTGGTGGCTGTTTCAGTGAGCAGGAGGAAGTTTTCCTCAGCACTGCTTCTCTGCTGTAGCTGGAGAGACACACACACAGAGCAGTCAACACCCTCCCTGTGTAGGTCAATATTACTCCTACTTCCTAACAGATGCTGAGGATACCTCAGATATGGAGTCGCAGAGGTACACAGGATGGAAACAGCCCCTTTGGCATAACTTGGCAACACCAACCAGGTTTCCTAAACTGAACTAGTCCCATTTGCCTGCATTTGGCCCGTACCCCTCTAAACCTTTCCTATCCATGTACCTGTCCAAACGTCTTTTAAATGTTGTAATTGCACCAGCCTCTACCACTTCCTAGAGATGTATAAAAAAAATTGCACTCTTGGATTCAAACCGTGAAGCTCTTTTCTTTGTATGTCTCCTTCTTATGGTTTTACGAGATTGGAGAATGGGTCAGCAGTAGGAATTTAACACAATCCAGCCTGATCTGTTACTCTAGCCAGAGCTGTTGCACTGACTTTCATTTGGTTTTTCCTTCAGTCAGGGACGTGGGGAGACCTGGCAGGGGGTCAGTTTAAGCTCAGTTGGTCGGAAGGTCATGATGCCCGGGTGTTGGGCTGGGGTGGACAAACTCAGAAGTCACACAACACCAGGTTATAGTCCAACAGGTCTGTTTGGAATCGGTTAGCGAAGCAGTGTGAACTAATGGATTCAATCCCCATCACCATCAGGTTACCATGAAGGACTCTCCTTCTCAACCTCTCCCCTCTCCTGAGGCATGGTAACCCTCTTGTTAAATCCACCACCAGTTGTCTCTCTCTAATGAGAGAGCAGCCCTATGGTCTGTTAAGACAACATTGACTTGACTGGGCATCCCTGGCAACATCAATTTTTGTTGTCCACCCCTCATCTCCCTCAAGAAGAATAGGACACCCACAATGCCCTTAGGGAGGGAATTCCAGGATTTTCACTCAATGACAGTGAAGGAACAATGATACACTTCCAAGTCAGGATGGTGAGCAGTTTGGAGGGGAACTTGAAGAGGGTGGTGTTCCCATGCATCTGCTGCCCTTGTCTTTCTAGATGGAAGTGGTCATGCATTTGAAAGGTACTGTCTGAGGAGCCTTGGTCAATTTCTGCAGTGCATTATGTAGATAGTACACACTGCTGGTACTGAGCATTGGTAGTGGAACATACTTACGGATGTGGTGCCAATCAAGCAGCCTGGTTTGGTGTGAGTAGTATTGTCTTACTGTTGGATCTGCACCCATCCAGGCAAGTGGGGAGTATTCCATCACACTCCTGACTTGTGCCTTGTAGATGGTGGAATAGCTCTGGGGAGTTGGGGAGGAGTTACTCATTCTGTGACCCAGATTTGGGGCTACAGGACAATGAGACCATTCAGTAAGCACACATGGGAGAACCGGCAGTAATATTATAAGGTTCATCCAGTCCCAACTTCATTGCAATGGTGGCTGCTTAAATTGAGAGCACAAACAGGAACAGACTGCAATGATAACATCCTATTTCAATGCAGCTGCCAAGTCAAGAAAAATAATTCATCTTACATTATGAAGTGCGCTATTGCTTGGCACTTTTTAATGGTCGTTTTTATTAAATGCTCATTTATTTAAATGATCAATTTATTGCTTTGGATTTCTTTTATGAAATTCACATTATACTGTTTTAAAAATTCACATGTTTCTGGAATTTGCTCATTGGTCCCAAAGGTGAGAGAAATTGAAAAGACACCTCCAGTGTGAAAATGTTGGGGATCTCCGTCTTAGCCAATATTCTCCTATTAGCTGAATGCACTAAACATAAATTTATATAGTTGTTCATTCATTTGCTCTTGGTGTGAATTTTGCTCTATAAAAATTGACTTCATATCAGTTTTGTCAACGTAACAAAGTTTGAGCAAATGTGAAAGAGAAAAGATCAATACATTTGCTTTTGGGATGTGCCAAGGATGTAAAACAACACTAAATAAAGGCACATTCTTCCTCTAATTACTTACCAACTTCTTGGTCACTTCCTGAGGGATTCGATACTTGGAGAAAGCATCGAGGATATGTCTCAGGAGATCTTGTTGCTTCTGGGTGAACTCTATTTTATGCTGGAGGTAATAGAAACACGATCAAAACCTTAACTCAAATGTTAAACAATGAATGATTGAAAGGTTGGGCTAGACGATCATCCTGTATCATTAATGCAGTGTCTTACATCCTCGCTACCCTGTCCAAAGCCCCTCCATACCTGCTGGTCTGCTTCTAGGGAGGGTGTGAAATTCCAGCCTTGATGTCAATCTGAGCAAGCCAGGTGTTAAAAGCTGGAAGTTTAACAGTGATGACCAGGACTGACCAACATCAAGAATTGGTTATGTAGCGCTGTCAAAAGTTGTTAACCTGGTAAACATTTACCTTTCTTTGGTCTGAAGAAGGGTCTTGGGACCCAAAACATTAACTCTGCTTTTTCCTCTCCATAGATATTGCCAGACCCACCGAGGTTCTCTAGCAATTTCTATTTCTCTTTGTTCTGCCATGGGCATGGGTATTACTGGAATTTGACGCCATCCCTAATAAATCTTGAACTGAGTGGTTTTCTCAGTTTTTTCAGACGGCAGTCAAGAGTCATCCACACTGTTGTGGGTCTAGAGTCACATGTGGGCCTGACCAGGTAAGGATGGCAGATTTCCTTCCCTAAAGGAACCAGATGAGGTTTTACTGAAATTTGACAATAGTTTCATTACCTTTGCTGTCCTGGTTAGCCTTTCCCCAGTCATCTGCTCCTAATCACCACTTGAACAGTGACCTATACACACTCAGTTACCAAAGTTAGCTCTGCCCTCCTGCTCCCAGATAAGCACTCTGTCCTCCCCGCCACCCCTCACACACACACACACACAGACAAATGCACAGGCACACGTACACACACGCACACACACACAAACAAACGCGCACACACACACACACAAATGCACACGCACACACACACACACGCACACAAACACACGCACACACGCACAGACAAACGCGCGCGCGCACACACACACACACACAAACAAACGCACACATACACACACACACATGCACACAAACGCACACGCACACACACACACGCACACACAAAAGCACACGCACACATGCACACACCCCAACACGCGCGCGTGCACACACACACACACACACACAGACAAACGCACATGCACACACACACACACACAGACAAACGCGCACACACACACACACACAAACAAACGCACATGCACACACACGCACACAAATGCACGCGTGCACACACACACACACAAACGCGCACACACACACAAACGCACAC